GGTGCTTTTTCAAGTGGTCTTCCTTTCATTTGAAAGATCATAGCTGGGTCTCTAAAACAGACCAGTTTTTAGAGGTTTTCAATCAAAAAGGGTTCAAGCACAGACAAAGCATCCTCTGAACTTGCTAAGTTTGCTCCTACAACCCCCATATTCATTGGTTAGACTGTCAATATTGTACCATTTGGTGAGCAATAGGATTCAGTGAAGTCTATTCCTTTGGAGAGCTATCATGCACCCGCACACAGGAAATTGATTTTTCATTTTTACCAATCACCACAATCTAGACCTCACCTCAATTTCTCTTAAATGAAAATCAGGCAAAAGCAAGGCGACAAAACAGGATTTGTAAGCACCAATCTAAAAAGACCAGTAGTTCCAGTCAGACAATGGGACAATGATTGATCAAATTTAAATCAGGTATAGTTTTTGTTTCATGAGCCAAATCCAGGAAATGTTCATCACATCTTGTTGTTTAAGAAAAGTATAAAAAAAAAACATTTTAAGTGTGTAGCATCAAGTCAATTAAATTTCAGTACATGTCATTGCCAGAAGGTCTCACAGCACCGTCTCAAGAGAATGGGGGAGTGACTCACTGCCCAGCACCGTGGAACCCGATTGGTATTGAGAAGCTGTGGTAAATGTTATAACATCGCTCAGGATGACCGGTGATAGGTCAGTGCTGGTCATGTCCATGGAGGGACACAGACTTCTACAGGTTAAGCAATGGTATCCTAACAGCCATTAAGTTTCAGTATGAAATCCTTGGCCCCATTGTCAGACTTTATGTTGGTGCAGTAGTTTTTGTGTTAAATCCTGGGGCCTTACAACACCCTGCCTCATGTGCTGAGACTATGCTGGCAGTTCCTACAGCTCCTTTTTGAGCAGTGTATTGTTATTCAATAGCTATAGCAGTGGTGTTGAGGCTTGGTTGTGAGTCAAACTTGCACAGCAGACATAACAACTACAGACTGATTTAAATGGAGCGTCAAAGCAAAAGACACACAAGTTTCAAATTTTGACTTTGCCTGGTGTAATGATAGCCAATTGCAATGCGATTATAAGCTAACAATGTAAAGGTTTGATCAAAACATTTTAAAATATACTACCAACAACATTGCTTTGAAAGGGAAACGTTTACACGCTGTGTAATGCTGATGGCCAGGCCAATGCGATTCAAATAGCTGAACCTGCCAGACGAAAATCTGGTGCAGATGTTTCCGTTTACCGATTACTACACACCAGAGGACTATACTGTACGGTGCAGTGCAAACCATTTATCATAGAGACAGCCATCACCCTTTGTTATGTTTAATCAGTGGTCAAGACTTCCAGCTCAGATGTGAATATTTACCTGATTGTTGAGTATTTCTAGATTTCGGAGAGTGCCAGCGCTCAGAGTCATAATCTCCGACTCGCAGGTCAGACGCCGGAAGGAGCTGCAGGAAGTACAAACTCATATAAAAATATAGCATGATGACATTTTGTTTCTATTACAGGGATTAAAGTAATACAAGATATTATTTTCCCTTTCCTGGTGTATAAACACTGGTGTTCACATCAAATGTAAAATAAGATTTAAAATAAAACAATACTGTCATTCTTTTTGTTACACATAACCTGTTAATCCCTAGGAAATGCCAGAACCAGGGAAGGAAATAACAATCATTTTCAGTATAGATTAATGTATCGATTGATCTTTCAGTATCTATCTGAAATGTCAAAGAACAGAACCAAAGAAAATATCCACAACACGTTCCCAGATTCTACAGTGACATATCCAAATATCTTGTCTTGATTGGTCGAAAGTCGAAGAAAAGAACCAAAGCTGGCAAAATGGAAACCAACAAATGTTAGCTTAAGAATTTTTGCTTTAAAACTACAAAAAATTATTGATAACAGAATTTTAAAACCTGAAAATTATATTTTTGTCTGCTCAGTGGAAACAATGGATGAATACAGTCGCAGGCTATGTTGCTGAATGTTTGTTTTCATGTACCTTTCACTTCTAAGAACTCGCTCCAAGTTGAATTCTTGAAGGTACTGGATGAGCAGCCCCAGACAGCTGATCACTGGGCTCTCCAGGGACGCGACGCTCGACAGAGAGCGAGAGCCTGGAGGACACACACATAAAAACATGCAACATCAACACACAGCCATGAGTCATGAGCCCACTCCTCAGACACATCTACTGTGCTCTCAATGACAGGATGTGAGTAACTGAGGCGATCATAGTGTAACAGGAAAAACAAAAGCGTTGCAGTGACACAAGCATACACACCTTTCGCCTGGATGTGACAGTAGAACGAGGTGACTGTGTTCATTGCCGAGGCAAACTCAAACTCAGCGCTGTCCCTCCTCTCTACTCTGACTCTGTCGTCAGCCTGAGCGCTGAAGGAAAACAATCACAAACTTTATTTATTTATAACAACACAACAGCATTAATATCAGAGATTAGTGACTGTACAGATACAGAGATAAAGAATATATGCAGTACTGTGTGCAACAGTCTTGAACTACTATTATTTCTTAACATTTCTCTTAAGAAATGAGAAACACGGGCAGTGATTTATTGATACAGGTACAAACATAAATGGAAACACAGTACACAAAGTCTAAACAATTATGAGGTTGAAATTCAATATTTGGTATGAACCCCCTTTATTCTTCAACATAGCCTGAGCTCTCTAAGGCAAGCTTGCGTGTAATTTCTTTAAGCAGTCTTCAGGAATCGTTCTCCAAGCTTCTCAAAGGAGATTCAAAGCTTTTCTTTGGATGCTAGCTTAGCTGCCCTTTGTTTTGCTCTATTTTGAGATAATCACTGTTTACTAATGAAGTAGAACTCTGGGGAGGCCAATCCCAGACTGATAGTGTTCAATTGTGTGTTTTTCTGTCCATATATGTCAACAATTTTGACAAGATTCCCAGCACTACTGGTTGAAATGCATACCTAAAACACACCTCCACCATGTTTTACAGTTTGCTGCAGACACTAATTGTTACATGTCTCTCTTTGCCATCTCCGTGCATATCGATGAAGATTTGGGTTCATAAGACCTGTTGCAGTAGTTGTAAGTCCAGTCCTTCTATAATTTGGCATAGCTCAGCCTTTTCTCCCTAATTCCCTTCTTTAAGAATGGCTCCTTAACAGCCATTGAGCCCATTTATGATGACGATTCCAGTCAATAGTAGATGGATCAGCTGAAGGGTCAAAAAGGTTCTTCGGTATATTGTTATGCGTAGGCACAACTGTTTCATCCATTGAGTTTGGTGACTTTAATTTTTGCTTTTGAGTCATTGGTTGGTGTTAAGTGGCTGAACAATCAAGAAAAACATTCCCTGAAAATGGTCAACTTCAAGAACTAAATTGAAAATGAGAGAAAAGTCAGCCAAGTCCAAAGAAAAACTTTGAAAGCCCTTCAGAGAGGCTGGAGAACTATAGCTCAAGACCACTTTAATAAATTATAAGAAAGTCTGGCTCTTTGGAAAAGTATAAAGAAATACAAGGAGGCTCAAGACTTCAAGAACATCTTCCTCTGAGAGAAAAACATTCACATAGCTGGACTGCATGTTCCAGCCATCCTTTTGTTTAACTAGAGTCTATACACAGAAATGCAAACCTCAGTCACGCACACCTGAACACATTTTCACTGCATTTCCTCGATGCAAAATGGAGATCCGTCGGAGGATCTCCGTTTTGCTATATTCACTCTTTTGGCACTGCTGCTTTCAAGGACTCTGTTACTTTGTCTGCACAGTTGTTGCCAGGGCAACCAAGGCAAACACGTGGCTCTGGACTAATGCCCACACATACACACACACACACTTACTTCATCATATTTCACTTCAGCTACTGTTTGGACTGGGAGTAAGGATTATGTAAAATGATCAATAGACGACATAATGTACAACTCACAGCCTTAACCTTTTTTTTTTTTTCAAAATCAAAAAATATTTTGAGATTTACAAGAAAAGCGACAACTGCAGGTATCGATTCGGATGAGAGTGCAGTGTTGCATCTCTGCAGAATCCCTAACAGGACCCACCAAGGTGAAGATGGGTTGTAGGAAACTGTAAAGAAACAAACAACTGGGGGTTTGACTTCTTCATAACTCGTCTCGACTCAGCTGATATCTAAATTACAGATAGCTTTGATTGGATCGGATTTCATTTCATCTAAACAATAGAAAGAGTCTGCAGCCAGCGCAGCAGCTCTTATCATTTTAAACTAAACAAAGGATGTCAAATATACAGCCTGAAGGTGCCAGTAGAGTCTGCTGCATGGGCTCAAATGCAAATGTGTGCAGATAAAGATGGCTGTATTTATAAGTTTTGTGTCCCAAGTTGTAAAGAATAAATCTGCTAAAGAGTGGTTGTCCAAACTGGTAATTTCATAAGCATTACTGCCAGTTCTTATGGGTAAAGTAATTAACTATGTGTGTTACCACAGCTGAACAAGAGTGTTAAAGCTAAAAGCCATACAAACAGAGCAGTTTCTTTCAATTACAACAGCAACTTTTCTTTGTAACAATAAAAGTCTGAGTGAATATGGAAAACAATGATATATTACCAAAACTGCACTTTTTATCTTAAAATATGTTAGGCTGTTAACATATATTTGTGGATGAATCCATAAATATGACCATTTTCATAATGTATCTCTTGGATATGGTGCATGAATTAAAATAGGCTTGATACCCCTATGCCAAAAGTGTAAATAATAACGTTCTGAGGTTGATATATAGTTGAAAAAACGTCAACATTCTATTATTTTTAAACCAGGTCAACAACGTAAAAAACTCATTTACTAAACTAGTTAAAATTTTGATGTGGTTATAGTGCAAAAGAAAAGGTCAGAGGATCATCGAAGTGATTATGATTCATTATCTGGGGACTATGAATGTCTGTGTGTCATACAGAGACTGTATATAAAAGATGGGCATAACAACTGAAACATTAGCGGCTGGCTAGCAGCAAACCCTGTTGTAAAGCTTCTTGCTAAGCTTTTATTTGCTGTCATCAATTTGGTGACCGCAATTTACAAGTTAACATGTTGTGTTCAGTAAGACTGTAAGCTACTGATTGAGATCATAGCTAAAACACGTCAGGAAAGTGTCAACATAGGGCACAAGAAACTAAACTGTTAACTATTCAAGCGGAGAAGTCACTCCCTGCTGGCCATTAGAAAGAATTGAGGTGTAAAGCACTTCCACATTGGCTACACTCTTTAGATCTGGTAACTTTGTTTAGATTTAGTCTACTGGTGTATTAACAATGCACAGTTGTTGAGGAATTTAACTCAAAATCACCAAAAATCAAGTTTATGGGCTCCTGGCTAAAAGGTTAACAGATCATCAGAGTCTTTAGGACTGATCTTCTGGGGTGTGAAAGATTATATTAAGGTTTCATCATAAAATATCCAATAATCCTGAAATATTTCAGGTCAAAATTACACTGCTGTTTGTAGAGCCACTAGTGTAGACAAATTAGGTACCATCAGCTCACAGAAAACCCTGTTTATGTACTGTACAAGAAAAAAAATGCTACTTTTGATACTGGGACTACAACTTGCACAGTATTGTGTAAGCAGCATATAATAGCAGCAGATGGTAAATGGACACTTCTCAAGCACACCCCACTGGCAGCATAAGGGGCAACCTGGGGTTTAGCATCTTTCCTAAAGACACTTCACGCAGACAAAAAGAGTTAGGGTTTGAAATCCCAACTCTGACACTACAGAGGAAAACCTGACAAAGTCATCAAAACCATCCTGACACCACAGCAAAAAACTGGTAAAATATGCCTTGTGGTAATGCCAAGTTTGCCCTGATGGTGAAAAATAAATGAAAATCAGAAAAGCAGAAGGTTACAACCAAGAGATCAGAGGTTAACATGCATAGCATGCAGATTAAAGTTTTCAGATTAGTATCTTATTAGAGATGGCACGATACCACTTTTTTATGTCCGATACCGATACCGATATCATAAATTTGGATATCTGCCGATACCGATATGAATCCAATATAGTGTGTTTTTTAATCAATAAAACTTTTTTTAATATCTTGCTGCATTTTGTATAAGTTCATACTCAAGTTTAAATAAACAACAACACTAAAGCTATTCTGTTATACCTGTATGTAAAAAATACACTGCACCCAAAATAGTTCAGCAATACTGATCAGTCTAATAAACTTAAACCTGCACCATCCTCCCTATTCTGGTATTTTAAAGAGTACTTAGCAGAAATATTAAGCAACCTAACTAATAGGGTTGCTAATAACTCCCAGCAAAAAAAATAAAAAATAGGGAACCACTCCCCATCCTATGATGCTTAATCGACGTAATCAACTTTAATTTGATGCAGTGTGAAAAAAAAATGCACAGAAATAAATTATTTTTTAAGAAATATTAAATAGATTCAACATCTTTCTTCTACAGAACTGCAGACTGCACAGATCGTACCTTCCCAAAGGAAAAAGTACTATAGCTTACTAGGGTATATTAGACTTAACAGTTACTCTATGCAGTAATGGACTTCTATACATTTTGCATAAGATTAAAACTTTGGGTGTACGATTCAGATAATTATTTATTAAAAGAGAGACATTTTAAATGAGAATAAGAAAGAAAAGTATGTCTTTGTGCCCCCTTTTCCCTGTTCATGCCCTATCGGCCCCCCTGGCTAAACTTTGCTAGATCCGCCCCTGCACAGTTACCAGCCGTCAGCT